AACATCTTATCAGTCTTGTAAGCTTGCGGACTCTCCATCTTTTCAGTTCTGGTCCCCCAAACTGGATATTTCAACTGAAGTCTTATAAATGCTATATGGAGCAGAGCAATTAGCTCCTATTTTATCACATATGGTGCACCTTTTAATAGATGTCTAGAATGAGCCCTATCTTTCTCATAATAACACCACCATTCACTTTGTGATCTACTACTCTCAATCCATTTTCAGCTATACTTCTGCCTGGACTATGTGGCCATATCTGTACATACATATTTTCTCTGTCATATATGGTACTGCTGTGTTATCTTTTTCACTTTTGACTGTCTTTCCAGTTTGAGAAGGTCACTGCGTCCCCCTCCAAATTAGAGATCTCTGAAGATATTTTAAATCTTCTATCACACTATTTAAGTTGTTAATGAAAATTTTGAAGTGATGCACATTAAGTAGGCAGCTGAAGTGGGACATTGAATTCCATATGCAACCTCATTTGGCAGCTGAATGAACAGGACAAATAACCACTCTCAGGCATCTGGCCACAGTCCTTCCAATAGCAGTCCAGGTTGCAGTTTGCCTTGTTTGCGGTGAGAGCCACCTCACTGGCCCTTGTTCAAGCTGCCATCCACTGAACCCCAGATCTCTTTCCACAGACTTGCTATTCAGGCTGGCACCCCTCACCAGTGCAGTTATCCTGCTCCTACTGCAGAACGTCTCACTCCTCCTTGCTCATCTTCCTGGGTTCCTGTCAGCCTGATCTTTCCATTTCTCCTGGTCTCTCTGGCTTGAAGCTCTACCACCCATAATGTCAGCATGGGCCCCTAGTTTGGGTCACTGGAAAATTTGCCAAGGGTTCATTCTGTCATCACCAAGGTTGTTGAGGAAGATGCTAAATAAAATTGGCAAATTCTGGGGTTGTCCACTTGTTGCTAGCTACGAACTGGGCATTGACCCATTAATAACTATGCTTTGACCTCAACTATTCAGCCAGTTTTCAGTCCATCTTACAGACCATTCTTCCAGCGCCTACTTTTTCAGTTTCCAGATGAAAATGGCTTGGAAAAGAATGACAGAATCCATGCTGAAGTCAATGGGTGTTATATCTGCCGTTCTCTCTTTGTCCACACAACTGGTCATTTTGTTGTAAAAGGTCTTCAAGTTGGTGAGGCAAAAATGTCCTCCTCTCTTCTCCCCGTACAGTCTCTTTTGTGTTCTTCTCCTGATCCTGGAGGAGGTTAGGGAGCACTTAAACAACAAGGATATACACAGGTTCATGGTACCTGATGGGAGGCATTCACAAGTACTGGGGGAGCTGGCTGATGTCACTGAGAAGGCACTCTGAAGTTGTCTTTGAAAGATCGTGGAGACTGGGAGATGTTCCAGAGGATGAGAAGAGAGTAAATGCCACCCCTATCTTCAGGAAGGACAAGAAAGCAAATTTGGGGAACAACAGGTGGTCTGCCTCATCTTGATCCATTGGAAGGCGTTGGAGCTGTTGGAGCACCCCACTAATCCTGGGTGCTATTTCCAGACACGTAAAGGACAGGCAGTTGTTCAGGTATAGTTATCATGGATTTATGAAGGAGAAATCACAGTTAAGCAACCTGACAGCCTTCTGCAATGAGGTGACTGGCTTGGTGGATGAGAAGAGATGAGTGGGTGTTGTTTACCTTGACTTTAGTAAGGCTTTTAACTGTGTTTCCCATAACATTCTCATAGACAAAAAGTATGGGCTAGGTCAGTGGACAATAAGGTGGATTGAAAACTGGCTGAGCTGCTGAGCTCAGAGTGCTGAGAACAGAGAGAACAGCTTTGCAGAGAAGACCCTGGGCATCCTGATGGACAAGCTGAACATGGGCTAGCAATGCACCTTCATGGCAAAGAAGGCCAGTGGCATCCTGGTCTGTGTTAGGAGAGTGTTACCAGCAGGTGGGGGAAGGTGATCCTTCCCCTCAGCTGAGCACTGATGAGGCCACTTCCGGAGTGCTGGGTCCAGCTCCAGTACAAGCAAGGCATGGATTTCTTGCAATAAGTCCAGTGAAGGGCCACAATGGTGATTAAGGCACATGTCATACAGGAGAGGCTGAGAGAGCTCGGATTGTTTAGTCTGGAGAAGGATCCAGGGGGATCTTACCAGATTATCCAATAGGAGGGTGTAAAGAAGACAGGCACAGACTCTTCTCAGTGGTTTGCTGAGAACAACAGGCAATGGACACCACCTGAAACACAGGAAATTCTACTTGAGCATAAGAAAACACTTCTTTACTGTGAAGATGTCTGAACTTTGGAACAAGAGGGAGTTTGTGGAGTCCACCTCGCCAGGAGATGCTCAGAATCTGACTGGACACGGTCCTGGGCAACCTGCTCTAGCTGACCCTGCGTGAAGAGGCCGTTTGGACCTCATGATATCCAGAGTCCCTTCCAACCTGTCCTATTCTGTAATTCTGTGATTTTTTTTTTTGTTTATGATCATCGTGATACCACAGTATTGTCATGTTCTGCCTCTATTTCTTCTTTACCCAGTTGAAGTCCGTAAGCTTAATGAGCAGGAGATTTTGTTCTGATTTCATGAGAGCATTTCATTAGAGCATTTTATCAGTGCCGGGTATTGTAAAGTGCCCTTAGCATGAGAACATATTACCCTTTCTGAACATACACAAATTCTAGTTACCTCAAGTTGAATTTGGATACCTGCATTTGTAAATGTGATTCCCAGTCCCACTGCTAGTCCCTACATGTGCTCTGTGTACTCGAAGGTCTGGTTGTGGGTGTATTCAGAAATGCCTCTGTCCTCTTCTGGCAGCTTGTTGCTTCTCTCATGCTAAGGCTATCAGAAAGTTGTCTTCTGTCTGAGTCCCCAGAGTGGATGAGATCAGAACTTCCCTTGCAAACTTTGACAGGAGACCCATGCAAAGAGGTCAGTGCATTGACCCATGCAGTGGGTCACCAATGGCACAGTGACCATGGCCATTTTATTAAAAAAAAAATGTCCAGGAGGGGAAAGAAGAAATAATGGTCGAATGCATTGTGGATAACATGCTTATTGGGAGCTAATGAGCCAGGGTCAGAGGGGAAGCCAGAAAAGGGGAGAGTCATGGTGGGAGCCCTGGACAAAGATTTCCTTAAACAACTGAAAGAAGTTTCGCAGATTCTTTCCCATTCTCCTGCTGTCCTTTAACCATACCAGCATCTGCTGCGAGGGCAGCACGATCATGCACAGGCAATCCAGATTTCAGCAGTGAATGACAAACAAATTTTTGATGCAGAGGAGCTAACCAGCGTGGATGCTCGGATGGACTCGTGAGTAAGAATGAATGGGTCAGTTGATGGCAGCCTTGAGTGCAGGAGCTGTGAGATGGTGCAGTTTAAGATGCCAAAGGAAGCGCGGAGGGCAAGGACATTAGTTGAGGGAGCTGGTAGGCTCGATTGACCCCGTGGTAGGTTGCCCCTGAAGGTCAAGGGAGATCAGGGCTGCTGGTCAGTCTTCAGTTATAACCTCCTCAAAGCACAAGAAGAATTCATCTGAAGTGCAGGAAAACAGTCAGGCATAGCAGGAGGCCAGCTTGCTGAACAGGAAACTCTTGATTTAGCTCAAATGCAAAAAGGAAGTGTACAGGAAATGAAAGCAAGAATGGTCTACCAAGGGGGAAGTGTTGCCTGGCTTGTAGGGACAGAATTAGGAAGGTCAAATCTTGGCTGGAATCAAAACTGGTGAGGGAAATGAAGGGCAACAAGAAAGGTTTCAACAGACTCATTGGCAGCAAAAAGAATGACCAAGTAAAATGTGGCTCTACGTTTGACCTGCTGAGTGGGGCAGGTGACCATATGCTGCAGCATGTGGATAAGGTTGTACCTCATCACAGGCTCTGCTGTTATGGTCTGCTCTCGGACCTTTCAGGTTGTCTCCCTATGCCAAGCAGCAAAACTTGAGAGCGCGTAGTGTTACACACAGTAGAGAAGGATGAAATTTGGGACTCTCTAAATTAGCTGGATGTATGCGAGTCAGCTGGACTGGATAGGAGTCACTGGAGGGTCCTGAGGGAGCTGGCTGTTGTCATCATGAGGATGCAGCCTGCCATCCTTGAACGGTCGTGGAGCTTGGGGGAAGTTCCTGGTGACTGTAAAAGGCTCCACCGATCTTCAGGAAAGGTAAAAATGAGGAACTATAGGCCTGTTAACCTCACCAGTCCCCAGGAAAATTACGGTGCTAGTTCTCATGGAAGGTATTTCAAAGCACATGGTGATGCAGCTAGCATATATATAGACAGAGCACATCAGGCCTTACCCACCTGACTGCCTTCCCTGATGAGATGAATAGCTGTTTAGATGAGCGGAGAGCAGCCTAAGTCATTTACCTTTACTGCAGTGAGACTTTCAATGTCACCTCCCACAGTATCGTGGCAGCCAGCTTGATAAGGAGTGGACTGCAGAGCTGCACCGTATGATAGCTGAAAAACTGGCTGGACTGTAGAGCTCAAACTTTAGCGGCGAGTAGTTCAAAGCCACTGGTTGGTGGCAGTTAAAGGGACGCATTGCAGGAATTGTTTAACGCTGGCGGCAGCAGCCCGGACCATGGGATGGAGCACGTGCTCAGCACGCTCGCAGATGCTGCCGTTTTGTGGGGGAATGACCGATATGCTGGAAGGCAGGAGTGCCATTTAGAGAGACATCAATGGGCTGGGGACAGATGGGAACAAGGGCAGATATAAAGTGTCATGGCTGGGATGGGATAAGCTGGAGGGAGGCTGCCTGCTCTGCTCTGAAGGACTTGGGCTTCGTGTTTACAAGAAGCTGAACAGGAGTCAGCAGTGCGCCCTTGTGATGGAGGATGTTGGCCACATTCTGGGCTTCACTCACAAGGGTCCAGGAAAGTGGCGGTTCTCCTGCTTGATTTTTGTGAACCTCCATGGGGAGGCCTCTGTCTCATTGTGAATCCCAAGACAAGGAAGCATGACAGACTGAAGAGAGTCCAGACAAGGGCCACTAAAACAGTCAGGGTACAGGAGGCAAGGCTGATGGAGATGTATGTGCTCGTCCTGGGAGAAGAGATGGCTGAGGGGGCCTAGGAGGAGGCTTCCCTACCAGGAGGAGAATTGGCTGATGGCAGGGCGAGGCTCTTCTCACAGGAGCACAGCAAAGGGCCATGAGTTACATGAATGGAACTCGTGATTGGAGGTAAGGGAAAAAGCTTTCCCAAACAGGTGGTTAAATGCTGGAACAGGTTGTCCAGAGTGGCGTTGTGCGGAGGTGTTCGAGCTCTAAGCAACCTGCTGTAGAGCTGAACTTAGCCCTGCCGTGAGAAAGCGGTTGAGTGAGGTGGTCTCCAGAGGTCCCTCCTCACCTGGCTTAGTCTGTGAAACTGCATGATCCACCTCGCAGGTGGAGAAGGAAGTCCAGAAAGCAGGAGAGCTGGGGTCTATCTGTCCTTAGCTGGGATGGGTGCAGGCTGGTAACACCTGCTTGCTAAATAAAACTCCAATCTGCCCTCTGTGTGCAAGCCTCTCTGAGGTAGAGACATTCTCCATCCTCCTTGTTGAAATAGTTCTACTTTGCTTTAAATAAATAGATACTAACTGAGCCAGAAAGTGAATGTAGGCCTGAAGCTGACTTTCTAGCTCAGTGATTAGGGCATGGAACTAGGAGAAGAGACATCTAGATTTCTGTCTGCTCCAAGGAGACCTTATTTATTTTAGCCTATGGCTTCTTGAAGCACCACAAAGCCCATGACCCTGTGTGGTTCTAGTTCTAGCTCACTAATCTGATCAAGAAATCAGATCCTTGAAAGGCATGAAATGAGTACCACTGAAGCTACGGGTAAACTGCCAGGGAACATTTTATTTCTGCTTTTTGTCAGCAGCCTGCCACCTCCGTGACCAGTTTTGCTTAAAAACTTTAAAATGATTCACTTAATTTTACTGCGTTCTTAACTGCAAGTGGGAAATTATATATTTTATTTACAACTAATAATAGCTGTTTCTTCCCTCTCTACTCTTTTGCTTTTCTTCACCTGTTGCAGTTAAAAATAAATCAAGACAGTTCTTCCTTTTGTTAGAAGTGCTTGAACACATCAGAGATAGTGAAGGACAAGTCAAGAAACCCCACATGTGTTAGAGGCTGATGAATCCAGGAGTCCGGATGAATCCAGGAGCCAGGTTGCCACAGCCCCATGTCCCCAGGTTCCCCCATTAGCGAGGCTGAGCAATAGGCACACACATGCACATGTTTATGTATATAAGGAACCAGCATCATAAATCAAACACAAACATGGACAGTCTAATAGTCCTGTCCTATTCTATCCCCACTCCTGCATATATTCCCTCCAAATAGTGTCATATACATACACATGCATTATCTATATTTTATGTCTATATACACACACACAGAATGCCCGAATGGCTGAGGTTGGGAGGGACCTCTAGAGATCACCTCGTCCAACCCCCCTGCTCCAGCAGGGACACCCAGAGCACGTGGCACAGGGTGGCATCCAGGCGGGTTTGGAAGGTCTCCAGAGAAGGAGACTCCACAACCTCTCTGGGCAGCCTGTTCCAGGGCTCTGTCACCCTCACAGGAAAGAAGTTCTTCCTCACATTGAGGTGGAACTTCCTATGTTTCAACTTGTACCCATTAGCCTTTGTCATGTCACTGGCCACCAGTGAGACATGAGAAGAGTTCTGCCCCATCCTCCCTACATTCGCCCCTCAGGCATTTGGACATGTTGATCACATCTCCTCTCAATCTTCTCCAGGCTAAACAGGCCCAGCTCACTTAGTCCTTCCTCCTAAGATGCACCTACACCCAATATGGATCTCCAGTAGCGTAGATTCTCAGTGCATCCTGTAGTTGGCCCAGACCCCCCAACCTCCCAATTTCTGCCAGGTGGAATTGCACAGTCCCCCTCCAGAGACAGGCTGTCAGCCCTGTTTCGGCAGTGCATGCACACACACACTGTGGAGCACTTCAGTACTGGCTCTGCACGCTCTAGCTACCCAGTCGCTGGCCCTAGATCCAATTAACAGTGTATCCTACATTTAGCCTGAGATTTACTATTTCTTTTAAACTACAGCCATATTTATTGTTACTAAATTCAAAGCAAGGTTTCTCAAAGTCAGAGATTCCTGCTAAGCAACTTGCTGTCACTGTTTGTTTTGTTTTTCAGGAGGAAATGGGTTATTCTGAAACCTTCTTTATCTACAGATGTAGCTGTGAAATGAACAGCTGTAAGCATGGCATGCTTGAGCATCCTATAGAGTTAAGAAGAAAATTTCACAGAATCGATACATGTTGAATTTGAAATGAAAAATGCAAGCTGCTGTATTACTTCCTTAATTTCAGTGACCCACATAGGAGGGTCTGTGAGTGCAGTATGTTTTACAGATCGCTTTGCACAAGGTGTAGGAGAAGGAGCAGCTCCACTGGGTTAAGCATGGTAGATGGTATAGACAGGAGCTCCTGGCCACCCTGCTGCTACTGCAGTTGATTAGCTGTTTTCCGTAATTATGCATTTCCATCAGGGGTGCAATGGTTATCACCTCTGGTAATGAGATTGCTCCCGTTTCCTACCAGTGTAATGTTCTGCTGGTTGCCTTCGGCGCGCTCTGCATTTCTGAGCGTGCTTGGCCGTATTCCCTTCCACGGGCTCCTGGATCATGCCGACTCCTTCCTAGCACTGTCAGCCTCATGGTGGCACCCAGGAGGAGTGCCAAGACAGCGATGTGGCCCTCACCGTGCTCAACTAGGTCAAGATCATTTGTTGCTTTTTTTTTTTTTTTCTCCTTCAGATAGCCACAATGGGCTATCACAGTATGGGAATTAAATGTTTTTCACTCAGGTGAGGAATCCTTGTAACCCGTGACATACCACAGCTGTTTCGGCATGGTTTTTCATCCCATTTGCCTCAGAAGGAAAACCAGATACGGCACTGTCCTTTCATACAGTATTGAAAAAGTTGCAGATTTTGCTGGGTTTCTCTGCGTGCAGAGGACTTGCTCCCTAAATCAGTGTTAAAAACTAGTATTGCTAATTGAATAATAAGACAGAAAAGTGAGGGCTGGTGTTGATCTGATTTATAAATTCTCCATTTTCCTGGCACTGAGTAATTGTCTTGGATATTTCTTGAATAACAATAGAGAGACTTAAGTAAAGAATAAGAAAATCATGAGCTGCCATGAAGAAGACGCAAAATTGTAATGTACATTCCCATAGCAAAGAGGAAAGATGATGTAGTGAAACATTAGGCAGCGAGATGCCAGGCCCTCCTTTCAACAGAGCCTCTGGAGGAAGGATAGAGGCTGTGCATCCCTTTAGAGACAGCTTTTACAGGTCACAGATCTGGCCTAAAGAAGGGTGTCTTTTTCTAAGCTGCTCCTTTCATTGCCTTCCTCTTCACGCCAAGACCTCAGCAGAGATGAGCAAGCAGGCCAAGGGCCATCCTGGCAGCATCTCGCTCCCTGTCTCCAGGGCCTGATTCCTGGTCAGGACCACAGCTGAGGTTCGGATGTCAGGGAGCGCCCTGGCTTTCGCCTGATTTGCTGCTTTTTTTCTCCTTCCAGAGGGTGGCATGAAAGGGGCGATATTGTAGGAGATATTTTAAGCATCTCCTTAAAATAAACGCCACCATCACAGCATCTCTCATGTAGAGATCCCAGTGAGTAAGCTGCATGGGGCAAAGAAGGGCACATGGTGTTCAGCCTGTTCTGGACATCAAGTGAGTACACAGACGTGGTTTTTGCCACTAAATATAAATGACAGTGCTTGAGCAGCAGCCTTGGAACACAGAGACTTCCTTGACTCTCCTTGTGGTTCCAGGAGCCACATGACAAGTTCTCTTAATGCTTTTTGCGCATTAAAATTGGTCCAAAATCTTCCAAAGATGTGCTATGAAACTCCGCTTCTAGATGAAGCTGCCAGATTTCCCAAAGAGAACGAATCTGGTCAGGAGACCAGAAAATGATACCACCTCAGCAGCAAACCACTGCTCTCATGCAGGAAAAAGCCTTCAACTCGCGAGTGCCAATAAAAGCCAACAGTGCTCCTAAGCAGTCACGCGTAGGAGGAAAGAGGTTTAAGGTTCCTTTTCCTTTTCAGAAACCAGTGTCCCAGCTGGCTCGGGCAGGGTGGCAGGTCTGCACACCCGCTCCCAGCAAGGGCAGGACACGTGAGAGCTGAGCGCGACACGCGGCACGTTGAATATCGGGGTTGGCTCCATGGCGTTCGGCTTCGAGGAGCGTCTCTCCAGGGAGCTGCCTCGTGCCCCGAGGAGCCCTGTGCCTCACGCACCACGCCACGAGCAGGCACAAAGCATTTTAGTATTTCCTTTCTTGCATTTTGGGTTTTCTTTTTTTCTTTTTTTTCACAGTGCTGAAATGAGACAGGGTGGTGCTCAATCCAGACACTTTCTTTGGGCTCTGCAGAGTCTGGCTTTTGGAGACTGAGCTCCAGCTGTGAAGTTACATTGATAAGATCTACATTTCGACAGAATAAGATATATAATTCACCCTGGTAAAGTCAGAAGCCTTATTTCTGACAAACTACTACTTAAGAGAAGATTTGACTATACTCTTTAATTCAACCTAATCTACTCAGTCTAATTATATGCTCACTTCTACTCTAGAAGACTAGCAATATAAAAAATCATACAAAATTTGGGATCGTTTTCAGCATTGCATGAGGTCACTAAGCTTGGGACATGTAAGTGCTGTGAAGGCAACACCAGGGAGTTTTCATTAAAAGGGTTTGATAAGGGATTTATATTGTAGCAGAGGAAATGCACTCTGAAAATCTCTCTATTGAACTCGTTACTTCATGCAAAGCAGTAGCTGCAATAATAACAAAAAATCACATCTTATTTCCTGGAGAAGTGGGAAATGAAGAGCATATATTTAAATAGAAATCATATTATTAACTCTTTGAGATTCCAGTATATTTCAGTGATCTCTGAACACAGCTGTACAGTACAAGTGCCAGTGTTGGCACAAAGAGCACCTGAGAAAGTTCCCTGTTGTGCCAAGACTGTGACA